AATCAGTCATATGTGTGTTTTCTGGATTTGAATTTATGCTGCAAACTCTGCAAACCAGTTTGGCCCAGTTCAGCTGAACTGATTGTTAACTTTGTGTGCAGTTCGGCAAACTGGCTGATCCCACCACTAGTTGGCCCCACCAGTCACCACTCCTTGCCTTGGCTGGCCTCTCCTGAGGCCATTTTGGCATCTCAGCGCACCTCTAAGTCACCCCAGGGTGGCTGCACTGCAGGTAGCGGGGCAAAGGCATTGCCCTTGTTTCAGAACAACTCACCCACTTGTTTTGACCCAGCATGATGCTTGATCGGTAGGTTTGAACCTTCATCTTGTCAAACCTAAGATTTAAAAATTATATTTTATCCATTTATCTATTTGTTGCAATTCTCTATAATCCATCCTTACAATCATTGGTACACAACAAGCAAGTTATGATATTGGTAGACAGAGCTGGGCACTTGAAACATGGGGGGGAGGCAACATTAGGGAAAAAGGGCACAGATAGCAAGGAAGGGAGTACCCCCTCACCCCCTTTCCCTCCCTTGCAGTCTTCGTTAGCATCTCCAGGCTCACATTTCATCATTCTGCTTCCACTTATCTCCAGTGCATGAATGTAACATTCCTTCAAGGTCACTTCTTGAAAAGGAAGAAAAGTTGAATTTTAAGTTTAGTTCTCTGGGAGTCCATGAAATTTTCCCTACTGTGGCCCCATTGGTGAATGTGATGCTGCTTCCCAATGACAGCGGAAGGGAGAGGCAGCCCAGCCAGAATGGAGCCTCACCCACCACGGGCCTGTTTGGCAGGGGCACCATTCAGCCTCCCCCAATAGTTCCTTGGAAGAGGTGCAGTTCCACTTACCAGATGGATTGGCATTGGGAGAAGTCCATTTCATGCCCACTGTTTTGCTGGTTCATGGGGAAAGATCCACTCCAAGGATTATCCCAACAAGTCAGTCTTTGCATGCAGCAACACCTAGTAAATAATGAATTTGCCAATGAATTTTAATAAGGATAAAAGTAAAGTCCAGGAAGTTTCTCTCCCTCCCCTGCTGTGTGTGTGTGTGTTGGGTGAACCCTACTTGGCAGCACAACACAGTCCCAGATAGGATTGCATGTTCCTCTGCGCTGCTTGGCAGTCCTGGACTTGCAGCTTGATGAGCATGTGGCAGCTGTGGTAGGAGGACCTTTGTAGAGGTTTCTCTTGTGTACCATTTGACCTGTTCCTTGACCTTGAGGCAATTGTATTTTAGTCATCTCCTGGATGGACTACTGCAATATGCTCTACAGAGGGCTGTCCTTGAAGATCCACCAGAAATGACAGTTGATCCAAAATATAGCATCCCAAGCAGTAATGGGCATTACTCACTGTGCCCATGTCATCACTGGAATGTAAACTGTATTGGCTATCAATTGGCATCTGGGTACAGTTCAAAGTGCTGCTTGTCACCTATAAAGTCTTTGATTGCATAGGGCTTGATTATCTGTTTGGCCACCTGTCTTCAGTTATTTTTGGCTTGCCTGGTAAACCTAGACAGAGTGGCTGTGCCCTTGGTGCCCTCAATTAAACTTGCCATCTTCTGTCTTCTCTGTTGCAAGTGCTCTGTGCCTGCTCTTTTGGGGTCTGGAAGATGGAGTTCTGTTCCCCATCATGAAATTAGTGGAGCCTCTCTTTTGACTGTTAGGTCTGGTTTTTGTCTCAACTGTTATGCTTTTTAATAGTTTTAATTCTATATTTGATGTGTGGTGATATGGGAGTAGGTGACTCTAATGAAGCTAAATAGGAAGGAAATTATAGGTAGCTAAAAATGTCAAATCCAGTCTAAACATCTGTCTGACAACCATATAACTGATAAACGCAGGGGACCGGGAGGCCAGGTAAGTGGGCAGCTTAGCCGTGAGGTGAGTGGCCAGGCAAGGGGAGGAATGGCTGGGAGGAGAGGAGCAAAGAGAGGTGATGCGAGGCACCACTCAAAGTGCGTGATGTTGAGTTGGCCCACCCAGTCAAATGACCACCCAACCACACCTACCCAGCCAGTTATTAAGGCAGAGAACTGGTTGTTAAATTATTTGAATCCCACCACTGACTAAAATACTCCTACCAATTGCCATGCCTGACTAGATAATATTTGTTCTCCCTCTTCCAGTTCATTTTAGCAGGTTTACAGATTTGTTGTAAAGTGTGCTCAGATGTAACCATTCAAGTTACATTTGAAAATCCAGAATACATGTTGTTGTGAACTAAATAATGAAAAACAGTCATGGTTAAATGTCTATGGAGATTCTCAATCATCCAGTTATGGTTGCTCCAAAGGTGCTTTTTCCAAAAGGCAAATGGACTTCCTTGGTTTATTAAAAATGTTTGTTCTGAAGAAGTTTCTTGGAGGAAAATCAATCAATCATCAATCAATCAGTCAAAATAGAGCTGGAAGGAGCCTTGGAGGTCTTCTAGTTCAACCTCGTATTCAAGCAGGAAACACTATACCATTTCAGACAAGTGACTGACCAGTCTCTTCTTAAAAACCTCCAGAGATGAAGCACGCACAACTTCTGAGGGCAGAGTGTTCCACTGGTTAATTGTCCTCACTGTTAGGAAGTTTCTTCTTAATTCAGGTTGCTTCTTTCCTTGATTAGTTTCCATCCATTGTTTCTTATCCTGCCCTTTGGAAAATAAGTTGACTCCTTCCTCTTTGTGGCAACCTCTCAAATGCTGGAATACTGCTATCATGTCCTACTAGTCCTTTTCTCTAGACTAGCCAAACCCGAATCCTGTAACTGTTTTCCTATGTTTTTGTCTCCAGGCCTTTAATCATCTTACTTGCTCTTCTTTGCACTTTTTCCAAAATCTCAATATTTTTTTGTAATGTGGTGACCAAAACTGAATGCAGTATCCCAGGTGTGTCCTTACTAAGGCTTTATAAAGTGGTACTAATACTTCATGTGATTTTTGATTCTATGCCTTTGTTTATACAAAAAAGGATTGTATTAGCATTTTTGACTGTTGCCACACACTATTGGCTCATATTTAAGCGATTGTCCACTAGGACTCCAAAATCCCTCTCAAGCTACTGTTTTTGAGCCAGGTTTCTGTACTTGTACCATTGGTTTTTCCAGCCCGGGTGTAAAACTTTGCTTTTCTCCACATTAAATTTCGTTTTCTTGGATAGGCTCCATTGTTCAAATCTGTCAAAATCTTTTTGGATCTTGACCTTGTCTTCTGGGATGTTGGCTATTCCTGCCAGCTTAGTGGCATTGGCAAATTTGATGGGTTTCTCCTCTATTTCCTCATCTAAGTCATTTATGAAGATATTGAAGAATTCTGGACCTAAGACAGAATCTTTGGTTCTTCACTATTTACTTTCCTCCATGTAGATGTAGTACCATTAAGGATGACTTGTTGGGTATGGTTTGTTAGCCAGTTACAAAACCATTAGGTAGTGATGCTGTCTATCCCACATTTTTCTAGTTTACTAAGAAGTAGCTTGTGGTCTACTTTTTCGAATGCCTTGCTGAAGTCTAAGTATACTATGTTCACAGCATTTTGTTGTTCTAGTAATGTAGTCACTTTGTCAAAGAATGAAATAAGATTGGTTTGGCATGATCTGTTTTTAACAAACCCATGCTGGCTTTTAGTTATAACTTCGTTTCCTGATGTTCACAGATCAGGAAACGAAGTTATAACTAAAAGTTATCTGTTTTTTGATTATTTCTTCCACTTTCTTCCCAGGTATTGATGTTAGGCTGATTGGTCTGTAGTTTCCTGAGTCTGTAGTTTCCTGAGTCTGCCCCCCCCCCATTTTTTTTTTGAAGATGGGAACCATGTCAGCTCTTTTCCAATCCTCAGGTAGTTCCCCAATGTTCCAGGATTCCAGTTGCCTTTTGGAAAAAAGATCTTTGGGATAGTCATAGTTAAAAAAACCAGGAAACAGTGAAAAGGGTTAATTTAAGAGTATTTATGCCATTGCAGATTTGAATTTTTATCCATGCAGGCTACAGTTACAGAAGGAAGTAAGAGCATAGTACTCATGTCTCTCATATGATTGTAGCTAATGCTGAAGAATAATGTTCAGTGAATATTTAATTATATGTTGTAAATCAGATGCTGCTTTTCTTCTTATCACCTAATTTTATGGATTACCTTAAAACCTATCTAAGTAGAATTTAAAAATGTTTAATTGAAGGATTAGGGTTTATGTATTCTCAGGGTATTTTCTCAGAGAGTGATTTAAAACACGATCTTATTAGAATATTAATTATATTATTTGATAGGTTGGATAGAGGGAATGTATTGTCCACTCCTGCAGCCATCTTGCTCTGTTGCTTATTAAATCAGATGCTTATTATGTATGTACGTGTATATAAATTTTATGCATAATACTATTCATATTTCAAAAGTGTTTTGCAAACTTTAAAATAAAATAAAGTATATATAGCCTGAATGTTCATTAAGACACCAATAACAACATTCTCATAGATTCAGTTTTAACAGGTTCTTGTTTAAATGTACGTTATAAAAGTAAGTATTTATTTACTATTTAAGAAAAGTTGTAATTACAACTTCCCTTTCCCTTGCTTCACTTTCTGTCTCTTTTGCTTGACAACAGAGGAAAACAGAATGATCCTAGCCTGAATAATCATTTCCTCACATACAAATGCAATATTGTACAATTATAGCTGCTAAGTAAGAATTGCTATAATTTAAGTGATATTTAAATGGTGTCTAATATCTAGAGTTTTCTGTTAAGTGCTGTAAACCAGAGGTGGTATTCAGCAGGTTCTGACCAGTTCTGGAGAACTGGTAGCAGAAATTTTGAGTATTTCTGAGAACTGGCAAATACCACCTCTGACTGGAGATTTTACAGTATCCTTCCCCTGCCAGGCCCACCAAGCTACGCCCACAGAACCGGTAGTAAAAAATTTTGAATCCCATCACTGGTGTAAACGTGTCTATAGTTAGTTATACAGAATCCAAGTACCAAAGTATTGTTCTGTTTTTTAACTTTATAGCAATCTGTGTGTTTGAAGGCAAAACCTATTTTGAAGGAGAAAGACAATCAGTATATTTAGACTCAGAGGTCTGTATTCTGTTTGAATGCAAGGTAAGATTACTTTTAATTTCTCTTTCCCCTGTAATTTGGTCCAATTTTGTAAATAAACTTTAGAAGATGTTATAAAGTAGCAATGATGGCTTTTTAAGTTGATGTACATTTTTCCATATCATTTTTAAGAGGAAGATCCTTGTTAAAAATTGCATGTTACTTCATAATAAGGTTGAAGGGGATCCTAAATACTTCATAGGATATCTGAAGATTATATAAGAACAATATTCGGGTTGTTAACTATGTCATGCAATGTCATTTCTCCACTTATTATTGCTTTTAAGCCATTCATAATTTCATTGAATTTTTATGTAATATGCTGCTTTTACAATTTTGCAGTGTATCTCCATACATTTATTTTAGTTGAGATATTCAGTATGCTGCTATAACTACACACACACACACACACACTTTTTATAAGGAATGGATAAATATGTCCGCTTTATTAATTATCACAAATGTTTTTCATAAGACAACATATATCACTTCAATTATTTTTCCAATTTTGGAGTCATTAATTTTGGTGCACGTCTTATACAAAGTAGAACTGTATTTTTTCAGAATAATTTTAGATCTGTTTTAAGAGATGAGGGGACTATGTTTTGAATTTAACATGAAGAAAATATTCATTCATCAGCAAGGCTGGTTACTCTTATTAGTGCATATGCACCAACACTATCATCTTCAACAGAATCTAAAGACAAATTTTACAATGATCTGGCTGTCACTATTAAGAAAACCCCTGAGAAAGAATCATTATTTATCCTTGGCAATTTTAATGTCAGAGTTGCAGCTGACCATTGTTCTTGGCCCACTTGTTTAGGTCAGTTCAGCATTGGGAAGATGAATGAAAATGGCCAATGCCTGCTAGAGTTTTGCTGCTACTATGGTTTTTGTGTTATCAAAACATTCTTTAATACAAAGCCTCAACACAGAGTCTCCTAGAGACATCCAAGATTGAAGCATTGGCATCAGCTCGACTTGATTCTCACCAGGCACCCCTGGTTTTTATTTATATATACATATACATATACGTATACGTATATGTATATGTATATGTATATATATATATATTTTTTTTTCTTAAGTTTT